AGCCGGAGATGTCTCTACCTTGGTCCTTTCACTATTGGCTGCAACTTTCCGGCGGATGTCAGGTGGTGCAATACCGGCTAAGCAGTGTAATTTCTCCAGTGATGTAGGGCACAGACACCCCGTGATAATGCGGCATGTCTCATTAAGAGCCACATCCACTGTTTTAGTGTGGTGAAATGTGTTCCACACTGGGCATGCGTACTCAGCAGCAGAGTAGCACAGCGCAAGGGCAGATGTCTTCACTGTGTCTGGTTGTGATCCCCAGGTTGTGCCAGTCAGCTTTCATATTGTTCCTAGCACCCACTTTTTGCTTGATGTTCAGGCAGTGCTTCTTGTAGGTCAGAGAATGCTCCACAGTGACTTCCAGGGATTTGGGTGCAGTGCAATGATCCAGTGGGATTCCTTCCCAGGTAATAATCCTCAGAGCTCGGGATGCTTGTCTGTTCTTAAGGTGAAAAGCACATGCCTGTGTTTCAGATGGATTGGGATCAGCTGGTTTTCCCTGTAATAGGCAGTTAGAGCACCTAGAACTTCAGAGAGCTTCTGTTCAACCATTTCAAAGCTCCCTGCTTCAGCGGTGATCGCAAGATCGTCAGCATAGATGAAACTTTCTGTCCCTTCTGGCCGTGGCTGATGGTCATTTGTGTAGATGTTGAACATGGATGGAGCAAACACGCTCCCATGAGGCAGGCCGTTTTTCTGTTTCCGCCATCTGCTTCTCTGGCCCTGGAACTCAACAAAGAAGCTCCTGTTTTGTAGCAGGTTTCCTATGAGGAGGGTGAGGTGGTCGTCCTTTGTGATACTATACATTTTTCTCAGGAGGAGGTGGTGGTTCACAGTCTCGTAGGCTGCTGACAGGTCTATGAAGACAGCTCCTGTGATCTGCTGCCTTTCAAAGCCATCTTCTATGTGCTGAGTCAGGTTCAGCACTTGCGATGTGCAGCTTTTGCCTTTCCTGAACCCAGCTTGCTGAGGAATCAGACATGGGTCTATTTTTTTCCATAATTCTATGCAAAATAAGTCTCTCCAGAACTTTGTAGAGGCGGCACAACAGGGAGATTGGTGTGTAGCTTTTGGGATCATTGCTGTCTTTGCCTGGCTTCAAGATGGCAATGACTCTTGCTTTTCTCCAGATTTTGGGGATCTGACAGGATGCAGTGCAGTTGTTCAGCTCCAGCAGCCAGTGCCTTGCTTTTGGGTTAGAGAGACCAAGCGCAGGGCCAAAGAGTAGTGTTGTCGCCGTGGCATTTGTCTTGGGAGCCATCTCTTCCGACGACAGCATGAAACTCAACCCTTTTTTGTTGCTGGCAGCAGAGAAAACTGGACTGCTTCAAAAACCTCCCTCGAGCCTCACAAGGACTAACTAACTGCATTAATGGGTTTATTAATTACCAGGGTAAAAGCCTTGGCAGCAGAAGACAAAAGAAAACAAGGATCGGTTCTCGTGGGGAACATAACAAGCAGCTTGCAGCTTTCTGAAGCCCATCTCTGGTTTGCCGGTCACAAATTTACTCCTTTCTAATGCTCACCTTTTCTGGCTAAATTATCTTACCATAATCTCAGTGCTTTTAGTATTGTTGAAGGCCTTCATGGCCGGAATCACTGGGTTGTTGTAGGTTTTTTTGGGCTATATGGCCAGGTTATAGAGGCATTCTCTCCTGACGTTTCGCCTGCATCTGTGGCAAGCATCCTCAGAGGTAGTGAGGTCTGTTGGAAAAGGGTTTATATATATCTGTGGAATGACCAGGGTGGGACAAAGGACTCTTGTCTACTGGAGCTAGGTGTGAATGTTTCAAGTGACCACCTTGATTAGGATTGGATGGCCTGGCAGTGCCTGAGGGAATCTTTTATTGAGAGATGATTAGCTGTCCCTGAATGTTTCCTCTCTGCTGCTGTAATTTTAGAGTTTTTTTTTAAATACTGGTAGCCAGATTTTGTTCATTTTCATGGTTTTCATTAGAATGGAGTAAATGAACAAAATCTGGCTCTAAAATTACAACAGCAAAACAACAGAGTGGAAACAATCAAGGACATCTAATCACCTCTCAACAAAAGGTTGTCCTAGGCACCGCCAGGCTATCATAGAATCATAGAATCAAAGAGTTGGAAGAGACCTCATGGGCCATCCCATCCAACCCCATTCTGCCAAGAAGCAGGAATATTGCATTCAAATCACCCCTGACAGATGGCCATCCAGCCTCTGTTTAAAAGCTTCCAAAGAAGGAGCCTCCACCACACTCTGGGGCAGAGAGTTCCACTGCTGAACGGCTCTCACAGTCAGGAAGTTCTTCCTCATGTTCAGAAGCTAATCAAATGCTAATCAAGGTGGTCAGTAGAAACATTCACACCTAGCTCCAACAGACAAGAGTCCTTTGTCCCACCCTGGTCATTCCACAGATATATAAACCCTTTTCCAACAGACCTCACTCCCTCTGAGGATGCTTGCCATAGATGCAGGTGAAACGTCAGGAGAGAGTGCCTCTAGAACATGGCCATATAGCCCGAGGAAACCTACAACAACCCAGTGATTCCAGCCATGAAAGCCTTCAACAATACAAAGTTTGCAAACCTGGTGTGATGCTAAATTTCCTTTGACCAGAAGCCACTGGTCTCGCTGTGAGAAGGTCTTCCATTGTGCGTGTGGCAGGGCTCAGGCCCCATTGTAGTAAGTGGTCTGCTCTTCTCCGCACTCGCATGTCCTGCACTCTGTGTTGTGGCCCCATTTCCTGAGATTGGCTCTGCAAAAGCGAACTACCACGTCCTCTGCTAGTTTAGGGGCTCTGCCTCATGTTTGCCATCGTGCCCTCCCATGTCTTGGTTTTTCTCTGTTCATACTGACCAAATTGTATGTCTTCCCAAATGTGTAGTTTTATGTCTTTTCCCCAATGGCATCACAGTAAAATTGCCAGTCTGCACCACCAGATGGGGCTCTGAGATCAATTACAGGTCGAGTAGTCCGTCTTACCTGTTCATGATTCTTCTTGCCCTTACCTGAAACCACTCTCTAAGGTGTCTATATCCTGTAGTAAATGCTACCATATACACACAAAAACGATAACGACTGCAGAACGAAAATAGAGGCAGTCCTCAAGTTACGAATAAGATACGTTCTGTAGATTTATCCTTCAGTTGAATTTTAATAATAGAGTAAAATAATATGAATGTAATAATACCAATAATAGAGTAAAATAATAAACGTAATAAAGATAATAGTTTTGTTTTTGTTTTTTTTGTCGTGTCAGGGCAACCAGTCAATTATATTACATTTCTAACAGAACAAAGCAAACAAACAGACAAAATACATCATTTGTGAGTTTGGTAGTTTGTTAAATGTCCTTTGACCAGTCTCTGTCCCCTTGGAGTGCCTCTGGTGTTGCCGCAAGAAGGTCCTCCCTTGTGCATGTGGCAGGGCTCAGGTTGCATTGCAGCAGGTGGTCAGTGGTTTGCTCTTCTCCACACTCACATTTCATGGATTCCCCTTTGTGGCCCCATTTCTTGAGGTTGGCCCTGCATCTCGTGGTGCCAGAGCACAGTCTGTTCAATGCCTTCCAAGTCGCCCAGTCTTCTGTGTGCCCAGGAGGGAGTCTCTCATTTGGTATCAGCCATTGGTTGAGGTGCTGGGTTTGAGCCTGCCACTTTTGGACTCTCGCTTGCTGAGGTGTTCCAGCGAGTGTCTCTGTAGATCCTAGAAAACTATGTCTAGATTTAAGTCGTTGACGTGCTGGCTGATTCCCAAACAGGGGATGAGCTGGAGGTGTCTCTGCCTTGGTCCTTTCACTATTGGCTGCCACTTCCCGGCGGATGTCAGGTGGTGCAATACCGGCTAAGCAGTGTAATTTCTCCAGTGGTGTAGGGCGCAGACACCCCGTGATAATGCGGCATGTCTCATTAAGAGCCACATCCACTGTTTTAGCGTGGTGAGATGTGTTCCACACTGGGCATGCAGACTCAGCAGCGGAGTAGCACAGTGCAAGGGCAGATGTAGTAATAGTAATATTACTAAAATAATAGTAATAACAGTAAAATAATAAATAACTTTGACTCGAGTATAAGCCGAGGGCAGCTTTTTCAGCCTAAAAAGGGGGCTGAAAAACTAGGCTTATACTTGAGTATATCCAGTATGTTCGGACAGGTACGCTGAGCTGGAACCATATAGATACAGATATATCTTTGGATCGCATAGGAAAGGGTGAACATCCCTGTGAATCCCATCTCCGTGATATCTCATTATGAACATGCAAGAGTCCCACAGCGCATATCTGCATATCCACACGTAGTTCCTGCATTTCATCAAGTGAAATCAAAGTGGCCAATGAATTGCCAGAAAATGATCTGTAGCTGGCTAAGTTCTCATATGGGAGGCAACTCCACCTGGCATTCCAGCAAATCCATCTCCTTCCTGCTTCTCATGGCAAATAGAATAGAAGAAGGAAAAGGCAGACAGAACAATTCACCTCCGAGTTCCAGCACTTGCATTCAGCACAAACTGTGCTTACATTAACAGTGCGCGCAATCATCGTTCTCTATTTGCACGTTTGCATCTCCCAGGCAAGTGAATTTCTCGTGTTCCAACCAGCAAAGTATGCAATTATTCGTCTGACAAAAAAGTATTTTTGCTCCATTTGTCGGTATTTACTGATCACTGTTCTGCATGGAAACGTCTGGAGAGGGTTGCCGCCACAGCAAGCAGCACCAAATGGAGATATTGTCCTCACCTGCAGGAAGGTAAGGCTGATGCTGGAAAGGAGCGGAGTTCTCAAAGTTGAGCTTAGTTTGTGTTTTTTTCTGTTCTGAAGAGCAAAACTGCAATTGCAAGAAGTTTGTTGCAAACCAACTCCCTTGCTATAATTGTCTTCATTTAATTTGCTTGCTGGGAATAGGATTGGGACAAAGCCTACAAGCCTTCTATTCTGCTTGAACATTTTCCACTGGGCAAAACAATGCTGCAAGTCAGAAAATTGTGCATAAGGAGAAGATCAACACCGAGCCAGACATGTTAAGATACTACAGATCTCTGGGAAGGGAGGTTAAGACTTACCTGGAGAAGAACAACCAATGCATGCTGACCCAGGGCATGATACAGACATGATGGAACCAAGCCAACATGACAATCAATCTGATCTTATGAATGGCAGCACTACAGCAGAAGTTCTCATCAACACCAACGAGGTCTTGGTCACCACGTTCCTTGGAGGGATCCTAGCCACCATGTGCCTCATTGGGATGGTTGGGAACATCTACACCTTGGTGGTGGTCAGCCTCTCCAGGAGACTCAACGGCTCGATGTATGTTTACATTGTGAACTTGGCCGTGGCGGATCTCCTGTACCTCTCCACCATCCCTTTCGTTATCTGCACTTACGTCATGAAGGACTGGTACTTCGGGGAGGTGGGCTGCAGGGTCCTCTTCGGCTTGGACTTGCTCACCATGCATGCCAGCATCTTCACGCTCACCGTCATGAGCACCGAGCGGTACTTGGCGGTTGTGAAGCCCTTGGAGACCCTCAGGAGGCAGAAGGTCTACAGAAGAGCCATTGCTGGTTCTGTGTGGGCCGCCTCTTTCCTCCTTACCTTGCCCACCATGATCCTCATTGACCTACGGGTGAGCAGCCGTGGAGGCGTGACCAAGCGCATGTGCCACCCCATGTGGCGCTTGGAGTCCTACAAAGTCTACCTCACCCTCCTCTTCAACACCAGCATCTTGGCCCCGGGTCTCATCATCTGCTATCTGTATGTTCAGCTGGCCAGGACTTACTGGAGATCCCAAGCGGTCGTCTTTGGCCACCACGACGTGAAGCGGTGCCCTAAGCGGAAAGTTCTGTACATGATCTTCTGCATTATCCTTACCTATTGGACCTGCTTTATCCCCTTCTGGCTTTGGCAGCTCCTCAGTGTCTACCATCACCACCAGCTGGCGAAGCTCAACAGCCCCGCGGTGGTCTGCATCAACTTCCTGGTGACTTGCCTGGCTTACAGCAACAGTTGCATCAACCCTTTTCTCTATACGCTGCTCTCCAAGAATTACAAGGAGTACCTAAGGAGCCAGCAGAAGAACAGCACCCTCCTCTCCAAGGTGAAGGCCAAGAGGGACTCTTCAAGGAAATCCATGCTCTGTGGAAGCCAGGCATGCACAGAGAGCATGGCCACTGCCCATCTTGAGGGCATCACCCTCCAGGGCACACAGGACTCAGGGATTGGGTGACCAATGTGTGAACACAGGACTCAGGGATTGGGGCGACCAATATGATCTTGGTTGTTGTAGGTCAGTGTTTCTCAACCTGGGGGTCGCAAGGTGGTGTCAAAGGGGTCGCCAAAGACCATCAGAGAAAACAGTGTTTTGTGTTGGTCATGGGGGTTCTGTGTGGGAAGTTTGGCCCAATTCTTTCGTTGGTAGGGTTCAGATTGTTCTTTGATTGTAGGTGAACTATAAATCCCAGGAACTACAACTCCCAAATGTCAAGGTCTATTTTCCCCAAACTCTACCAGCGTTTGCATTTGGGCATGATGAGTATTCGTAACAGGTTTGGCCCATATCCATCATTGTTTGAGTCCACAGTGCTCTCTGAGTTGTAGGTGAACTACAACTCCAAAACTCAAGGTCAATGCCCATCAAACCCTTCCAGTATTTTCTGTTGGTCAGGGGAGTTTTGTGTGTCAAGTTTGATTCAATTCCATCATTGGTGGAGTTCAGGATACTCTTTGATTGTGGGTGAACTATAAATCCCAGTAACTACAACTCCCAAATGTCAAGGTCTGTTTTCCCCAAACTCTACCAGTGTTCGCATTTGGGCATGTTGAGTATTCGTAACAGGTTTGGCCCATATCCATCATTGTTTGAGTCCACAGTGCTCTCTGGAGGTAGGTGAACTACAACTCCAAAACTCAAGGTCAATGCCCACCAAACACTTCCAGTATTTTCTGTTGGTCAGGGGAGTTTTGTGTGTCAAGTTTGATTCAATTCCATCAGTGGTGGAGTTCAGAATGCTCTTTGATTATGGGTGAACTAGAAATCCCAAATGACAAAATCAACCGCCTTCAACCCCATTTGGGTGTATTGGGTATTTGTGCCAAATTTGGTCCAGTGAATGAAAATACATCCTGCAGATCAGATATTTACATTACGATTCGTAACAATAGCAAAGTTACAGTTATGAATTAGCAACGAAAATAATTTTATGGTTAGGGGTCTCACTGTATTAAGGGGTCGCGGCATTAGGAAGGTTGAGAAACACTGTTGTAGGTTGTTCAGGCTGTATGGCCATGTTCTTGTCATCTTAACATGTCTGAGAATTTGGTCCAATCTGCCTTTCCGAACTTGAGTCTTCATTAAAATCGGACTTCCTGAGGCCTTATAATTGGGAATAGTTGGTATCCTATTGGTTGGTGCTGTGTGTCCCACTGATTTAGTGCATTGCTGCACAATGCTGTTGCTCACAAATAGGAGGTCGGGGTTGTATCTTCGGTGCCGTCTCCCACTGTTGTAGGATGGTAGGAGCTTACTATCATGAGTAAGTGGTAGTTTGTGCAGTTCAGACCAGGGAAGGAAAGCCTCTTCATTGTTATTCTCATGAGCATACGTGGCTATGGCTGTCCTTCCTTCCTTCCTTCCTTCCTTCCTTCCTTCCTTCCTTCCTTCCTTCCTTCCTTCCTTCCTCCTTCCTTACCTTCCTTCCTTTTTTCTTTTCTGCCCTCCCCTCCCTCTTTCTCTCTCCATTCCCTTTCACTCTTCCGCCTTCTTTCCTTCCCACCCTTTCGTGCTTCCCTCTCCTTTGTCTTGCCTTCCTTCTCTCTCTTTCCTCCTCACCTCCCTCCCTTCCCTCCATCTTTCTCCTTATATCATTCCCTTCCACCCTTTTGCCCTTCCTTCCCTCTTTTTCCTTCCTTCCCTCCATCTTTTTCCTCCCATCCCTCCTTTCCTTTTCATCCGTCCTTTTTCACCTTTTCTCCCTTCCATCACTGGGCAGCCAGTCCTCCTAGCAGGGAGTGCTTTCTACCTCCCTCCCTCTCTCCTTCTCTTCCACCCTTTCATCCTTCCTTCCCTTTCTCCCTCTTTCTCCTTCCTTCCTTCCCTTTTATCTTTCCTTCAGCGTTTCCTATGTCCTTCCCTTCCTTTCATACATCCACCCTTCCCCTTTTTCCTTCCTCCTTTCCTCCCGTCCATTCTTTCCTTCCACCCTTTCATCCTTCATTCCTTCCGTCTTTCCTCCCTTTCTCCTTCCATCCTTCCCTTCCTCCCTTTTGTCCTTTCTTCCTTTTTCCTTCCTCCTTCCCTTCCTTCTTTCTTGTCTTTCCTACCTTCCCTCTCTTACCTTTCTCTTTCTATCCTTTCCTTCCCTTCCTCCCTTTCATCCTTTCTTCTTCTCTTCCTTCCTTCAATCACTGGGCAGCCAGTCCTCCTAGCATGGAGTGCTTTCTCCCTCCCCCCCCCCTCTCTCTCCTTCTCTTCCACGCTTTCATCCTTCCTTCCCTTTCTCCCTCTTTCTCCTTTCTTCCCTTTTCTCTTTCTTTCTATTCCTTCCCTTCCTTCCATAATCCTGCTTCCTTCTTTCTTTCCTTCCTTCCTTCCGTCTTTCCTCCCTTTCTCCTTCCATCCTTCCCTTCCTCCCTTTTGTCCTTTCTTCCTTCTTTTTCCTTCCTCCATCTCTTCCTTCCTTCTTGTCTTTCCTACCTTCCCTCTCTCCTCCCACCTTCCCTCTCTTTCTGTCCTTTCCTTCCTTTCCTCCCTTTCATCCTTCCTTCTCTCTTTCCTTCCTCCTTCTCTTCCTTCCTTCCATCACTGGGCAGCCAGTCCTCCTTGCAGGGAGTGCTAGCCTGTGGCCCCCAAGTTAGAAAGTTTTGCCCAGGCCTGGCATACCTCAAGGTTTTATTTTCCATTGCTGAAACACTTATGTTTGTAAAGAAGGAATTATAAGCAGGCAGACGTTGTAATGCGCACCTTTTGGGGCCAAATTACAAGTTGGGCACTTTTTGCTGCTGGACATTAAATTCGGCAGCAAATCATTTTTGTTTTGTTTTGTTTCGGTGTTTTGAAATTGAGGTGCGCATTAGATTCCATGGCACATTAGACTTGAGTAAATACATATAACCTATAGTACCTGGCATTTTTTGGTGGTCTCTCATCCAAATACGAGGGGTATTTTTAAAGTAAGGTCCGTTTTGTTGTAGACACTAGTAGTTTGCGCGCATACTGCAACGAGCGCGTGCGTCGTGTACCGGCATGCCTCGGGAACAACTGTGCTCAGTTTCCGCTCTGTAGCTCACCTGTACGGTTCTGTTCTGTGCTTTAGAAATGTTTAAGACTATCAACTCACCCTCCGCATGTGAGGTTTGCTCAGTGATACGGTTTTGGTCAGCAAGGAACCTGCCTGCTGCAGAAATCCATCGACAGATTTGTGAAGTGTACGGTGAGACTGTTATGAGTGAAAGCAAAGTGTGTAAGTGGGTACGACAATTCAAAGGTGGATGTGACAACGTCCATGATGAGGACCGCTCCGGTCGCCCTTCTTTGATTACAGACGATTTGATCTGATCGCACACTCAAATCTTTGGCTTTTGTGGTCCTCTGTTAGGAATTTCGGGACCCATCGGGAGCACAGTTTCCTAAACTTTAGGTGTTCATAAACAATGTTGTAAAGCACTGATCTCGACACGTCAGCAAATTCGTTTGAGAGACCTGTTATTGTGAAGCACCTGTTCTCACAAATCCTCGCTTCAACTGAAGCCACCAAATCGTCTGTAATCAAAGAAGGGTGACCAGAGCGGTCCTCATTGTGGACGTTGTCACGGCCATCTTTGAATTGTCGTACCCACTTACGCACTTGGCTTTCACTCATAACAGTATCATCGTACACTTCATACCTCACATGCGGAGGGTGAGTTGATAGTCTTAAACATTTTTAAAGCACAGAACAGAACCGTACAGGTAAGCTACAGAGCGGAAACTGAGCACAGTTGTTCCCAAGGCATGCCGGTACACGACGCATGCGCTCGTTGCGGTATGCGCGCGAACTACTAGTGTCTACAACAAAACAGACCTTACTTTAAAAATACCCCTCGTATTAATCAGACCTGCCCTACTTAAGTTTCCTTGCTTAGAAGGACCTGGTGCCTCCAGGATAAGCAGTGGCAAAACTCCCAAGAGTTTAGCCAGGCAACCTATACTATACTAGTCCAACTTTGGTGATAATTTTAGACCCCTTTTCCAAAAATGTCTGAAGTTCCCAAGGCAAACCGTTCAAGCTGGCTGATGAAGCAGGAAAGTTCCAGCTCTTAGGGAAGTAACAATAGACACGTGCATAGATCCAATTCATCAGATTTCCCATCTCACGTGCCCAAGAAGCCTGAGGCAAACCTTGCTAGATTGTTCACACGTGCCGGACGGAGGTTGGCACCATGCTACTGGTCTCACACAACAAGTGCCTTTGACACCAACTGGCTGCTTCAAGCCATTTACAGGCGATCCCTTGTTCTTCCCAAGGAAGGAGGAAGGAGAAGGTCCAGCAGGAAGGAGGAGAAATACAGCCCAGATCAGTGCATCAGCGGTTGTTCCCCATGTGCTGTCAGGTTTACCTTCGGAAAGGCACGTGGTGCGGCAGCATTTCTCTCCATTAAGAGTTCATATGCACTCATTCCTTCTCAATGGGTGAGATGGAGAAGTCAGAGCTGACACGTTTCCTTTGAACGAGAGAAGCAAATGACTCTTGGAGCAAATGATACTGAAAATAGGCATGCAAAGAGATCTTGTAGCACCTTAGAGAACGAAGTTGGCAGCACAAGCCTTCATAGATGCATCTGAAAAACAAAAGCTCTTGCGACCAGCTTCGTTCTCTCAGTTCGTCTCCAAGGTGCTCCAAGATGGCTTTGTAGATTTGTTTTCCTTACAATTTGCTTCGAGATTTGTTTGCTAACCATCATATTATATGTTAGGCTTGTGCACAGAACCATTTTAGCAGTTTTTCTTCGGCCAAACCGGCTTCTTCGGCTCTACAGGATGGTCGTAACGGCAAGGGCCCAGCCGTTACGTTTTCCCATCCATAACAGGACTATGTGGCAACTGACCACGGCTCCTCCTCCCCGATTCAGCATCACAGTTGCACCCTGGATTCAGTGTATTTCTTGACTTGGTCTCTCTCTTGAATCTTTTTGATTTTCCTTCATTTTGATTCTTTTTACTTAGTGGGACTGGGAGTTGGGAAGGTATGGGTGTGTGAGGTCATCCGGAGTTCTGGAGTTGTGTGCCATCTGTATGCAGATGACACCCAACTCTACTACTCATTTCCACCAAACTCCAAGGAAGCCTCCCAGACCCTGAACCAATATCTGACAGCTGTGATGGACTGGATGAGAGCTAACAGGTTGAAGCTTAATCCAGACAAGACAGAGGTCCTCCTGGTCAGTTGTGGGGCCAACCGAGGTATTGGGTGGCAACTTGTGCTCAACGGGGTTCCACTCCCCCCGAGGGCGCAGGTCCGTAGCTTGGGGGTCCTCCTGGACTCAATGCTTGATGCTCAGGTGTCGGCGGTGGCCGGGAGGGCCTTTTGCACAACTTAAACTCATGCACCAGCAGCAACTATACCTCATGAAATCTGACTTGGCCAGGGTGGTTCACGCCGTGGTTGCATCCAAACTGGACTATTGCAATGCGCTCTACGTAGGACTGCCCTTGAAGACAGCCTAGAAGCTCCAACCAGGCTCCTTACTGGAGCAAACTATAGGGAGCATACAACGCCCCTATTAAAACAGCTTCACTGGCTGCCGATAAGTTGCCGAGCCAAATTCAAGGTGCAGGTTATGACCTATAAAGCCCTAAGCAGTTCGGGCTCCGCCTATCTTCGAAAGATGTGAGGGGGAAAGGCAGGCAGGAGTGGTGCCTGCCTGGAGTTACTTCTCCTCTAGAGTAGAAACAGCTTTAATGAAGCATTAAACCCGGAGCAGAAAGGGGGGAAAAGTTACCACCCCTGCAGTGCAAATCAAGAAAAAAGAGAAGGCATTTTAAAGGAAGCCCAGGGTAGGATAACTCCAGGTCATTGCTCTCCCGTCTCCTTAAAATGCCTTGGAAAGCTGTATGCAGGGAGAGAGCGTGCACACATGGAGCATCCATAGCGCCTGCCTCCTCTAGAGTAGAAACAGCTTTTAAGGAAGCATTAAACTCAGATCTCTTCTACAGACCAAAGGGAAAGGATCACAGAAAGAGTGGTGTCTTAACGCGGATGTTATTTAATCCAGGTCTTAATGAAGGATATAAGGACAAACAATGCCATTGCCTAAAACAGGGGTCCTCAAACTTTTCAAACAGGAGGCCAAGTTCACTGTCCCTCAGACCGTTGGAGGGCTGGACTGAATCCCACCAAAGATGCACCTTCTGAGTTTTTCAAACTTAGCCTGCCACCTCCCCTGCCTTCTCCTGCCTTCGAGATGAGGCGAGACCCCTTCCCGAAGGCAGGAGAAGGCCAGCTGGGCCCAGGGAAGTGGCGGGTGATGCGGCCCCAAAGCCGCATCGCCCACTGCCTCCCTCGCCATCTCCTGCCTTCGGGATGAGCCGAAGCCCTGTCCTAAAGGCAGGAGAAGGCCAGCTGGGCCCAGGGAAGCGGTGGGCGATGCAGCCTCAAAGGAGGACTCACCCTTCTTCACACTCCGTGGGCCGGATAAATGCCCTTGGGAGGCCGGGGCTGGCCCGCAGGCTGTAGTTTGAGGACCCCTTGCCTAAAATGATGGGAAGGGGAGCCCAGGGAGCCACCCTGCCACTGCCATCAATGGGACAGATCTAGCCGTATTTTTCAGCTGCAGTCCAAAATCGCCATCCGGCTGCATGCCTGTTTTCAGGAGGCGTGTGAAAACAGATATGGGAGTCTACCGGTATCCAGCCAGCAGAAACAGATCCAGGTTCAGGCAAAATGCACAAGCCTATTATATATGCATATATGGAAACACCTTGATACAACTATCATATGTAGAACTCTAGCAACAAATAAACAATTGCGAACAGCAAGTCCCCACAATTCTCTAGTCTCAGGAGCAAGACGTAAAGCTTTATTTTTACAAAATGGGGAGCAAGATGTATGGAGATTACCACAATTTAAAGCAGGCTTTCAAACGCCTATGCAGACGACTGCTTTGCAAATATATCCACAGATGCAAGAATACTTATCAGTTTACCTGGACATGCACACTTTTGCTGCCATATCAATGGAAGGCAATTCTTCCTAACAGACAAAGAGGTTATGTTGAAGAACCTTGCATTTTGTCTCTTTAGTAAACATTTTATTATTGGGTATGGCTTTCTTTGTATTTTTTCTGCGTAGTAGTGTTACTTCTTTGACTTCAACAAAGGTCTTAAATGGTACTCATAATGTAGATTTCTGTAATTAAAATACGAGGGATATCCGGAAAGTAAGGAAGGTTACAAGATTTTTTAAAAATACAAATGAATATATTTTAATAAAACTTACATGGATTGTAACATAGCTATTACATTATTTTTCCACATAATCGCCATTCAGTTCAATACATTTTGTCATCCGTGGGACGGGTTTTTGATGCCTGTCATACATGTTTCCCTCTGCCTTTTTCAGCCAGTTCGTCATTTCGATTTTCACTTCTTCATCGTCAGAAAAGTGTTTTTCACCCCTTCCCTTTAGTGAACAGTCCCTGGGTACGAGATCGGGGCTGTGAGAGGGGTGGCTTCAAACATCCCAACCAAATGAAGTCAACCACTCTTGTGTTGCATGAGCAGTGTGAGGACACGCATTGTCACGAAGGAGACAGACTCCTGCCATCAGCATCCCATGAAGTTTGTTTTGGATGGCTCTGCAAAGTTTCTTCATGGTTTTGCAATATATTCCGTACCCATTTTGTCACATGCTGTCTTGACATTACATCCTCTCCATAAACTGAAATGATTTTGCAGTTAATCGCAGCAGCGTTCATGCCCTCAGCATTTAGGTAGCATACTACAGAGCAAACTTTGCACTTGGAGGGAAATAGATTAAGGACGTTCATCTCTAACATTCACCACAACACCAGTTGATGAGCTACTGACGACTGGCACTGCTCATTCAGTTCCACTAGCTTCCCACTGCAAGACAGTGAGAAACCAACTTCCCCTGAAAAAAATTCCCCATAAGAGCTTGTTACCTTACTTTCTGGATATCCCTCATATAGCTCGAACTTTGCACTTGGAGGGGAACGGAATGAGGATGCTCATCTCTAACCTTCACCACAACGCCAATCGATGAGCTACTGACGACTGGCACTGCTCAGTCAGTTCCACTGGCTTTCTACTACAAGGCAGTAAGAAACCAACTTCCTTTGAGAAAATTCCCCACAAGAGCTTGTTACCTTACTTTCTGGGTATCCCTCATACAGCGCAAACTTTGCACTTGGAGAGAAACGGAATGAGGATGCTCATCTCTAACCTTCACCACAACGCCAGTCGATGAGCTACTGACGACTGGCACTGCTCATTCAGTTCCACTGGCTTCCCGCTACAAGACGGTAAGAAACCAACTTCCCCTAAGAAAATTCCCCATAAGAGCTTGTTACCTTACTTTCTGGATATCCCTCATACAGCCTGAACTTTGCACTTGGAGGGAAACAGAATGAGGATGCTCATCTCTAACCTTCACCACAACMCCAGTRGATGAGCTACTGACGACTGGCACTGCTCATTCAGTTCCACTGGCTTCCCGCGACAAGGCAGTTAGAAACCAACTTCCTTTGAGAAAATTCCTCATAAGAGTTTGTTATCTTATTTTCTGGATATCCCTCATATAGCTCGAACTTTGCCCTTGGAGGGGAACGGAATGAGGATGCTCATCTCTAACCTGCACCACAACACCAGTTGATGAGCTACTGACGACTGGCACTGCTCATTCACTTCCACTGGCTTCCCGCTACAAGGCGGTAAGAAACCAACTTCCCCTGAGAAAATTCCCTATAAGAGCTTGTTACCTTACTTTCTGGATATCCCTCATACAGCCTGAACTTTGCACTTGGAGGGAAACGGAATGAGGATGCTCATCTCTAACCTTCACCACAACTCCAGTTGATGAGCTACTGACGACTGGCACTGCTCATTCAGTTCCACTGGCTTCCTACTACAAGGCAGTAAGAAACCAACTTCCCCTGAGAAAATTCCCCATAAGAGCTTGTTACCCTACTTTCTGGATATTCCTCATACAGCGCAAACTTTGCACTTGGAGGGAAACGGAATGAGGATGCTCATCTCTAACCTTCACCACAACGCCAGTCGATGAACTACTGACGACTGGCACTGCTCATTCGTTTCTGTTGGCTTCCTGCTACATAGCAGTGAAACCAACTTCTCCTGAGAAAATTCCTCATAAGAGCTTGCTACCTTACTTTCTGGATATCCCTCATACAGCACAAACTTAGCACTTGAAAAAGGAATGAGGATGCTCATCTCTGACCATCACCACAACACCAGTTGATGAGCTACTGACGACTGGCACTGCTCATTCAGTTCCACTGGCTTCCCGCTACAAGGCAGTTAGAAACCAATTTCCCCTGAGAAATTTCCCCTAAGAGCTGGTTACCTTACTTTCTGGATATCCCACAAGGTCTCTTCCAACTCTATGATTCTATGAACCCAACCCATGAAAGAGGAGGCAAATTTTAAAGTTGTGAGAGTTTATTGCATATGTAACAAAAATGAACATGACCTCCTGGGCCCAGCCTACTATACAATCACTGTTTTTATTCCAGCTGGCTCCATAACCACGTTAAATAGAACTAGTATTTTCTTTAAATACTTTGATTTAGACATAAAATGGAAAACATTAGTGTACAACTGTTTCCCCTCCCCACGAAACAAAATCCGCCATAAAAATGGAGAGAAGAGTAACAAGGGTAGCAGCAATACTTAAAAACAAGACATTACAAAATAATAAGTTAAAAAATACATTATAAAGTGGTTGAGGAACAAAAAAAATTCTTTTTTTTTTTAAACAAAGTAAAAACAAATTACATACTGCATTTTTTTCTGGAAAACTGTCTGTGCTCTACAGTGTAGAATACTGGGTACCGGAGCCACGGAGAGGATGGGAAAGGAAAGCCGGCTCTGGAGGATCGCGGCGGTTTTACAGACCGGACTCAATGCTGAGCAAGCGCTGTCCTTCACTGAAAACAAGAAGTTGGTCCACAATGTTCCCGTCTGACGTAGAACGACGCGTCCTTTCCCAATTTGAAACACAAGAGGAGTGGTGATTTCCTACATCCCTGAGTGCATGGATGCTGGATGATGCATTTCAGGGCAAGTAAACAAAGACTCGGGAAGATCTGCATCACTGGACCAGTTGATAAGCTCTGCTCTTACCAGAGGGACCAAAAGCCATTGGAGGTGGCCTTCAAAAGCACCATCGGACTGAAGCAACAGAACGCACACATACCCTTCCAATTCCTCTGTGTCCCCATTGCAACTAGTTTCCCAAGTAAACAAAGACTTGGGAAGATCTGCATCGCTGGACCAGTTGATAAGCTCTGCTCTTACCAGAGGGACCAAAAGCCATTGGAGGTGGCCTTCAAAAGCACCATCGGACTGAAGCAACAGAACACACACATACCCTTCCAATTCCTCTGTGTCCCCATTGCAACTAGTTTCCCTAGTAAACAAAGACTTGGGAAGATCTGCATCGCTGGACCAGTTGATAAGCTCTGCTCTTACCAGAAGGACCAAAAGCCATTGGAAGTGGCCTTCAAAACCACCAACGGGCTGAAGCAACAGAACGCACACATACCCTTCCAATTCCTCTGTGTCCCCATTGCAACTAGTTTCCCATCTAGATGCAAGACACAGCCACAAAGGGCAGGGTGCTTCCGATACCCTTCAGTACATCAATCTGCCTTAAAGGGAAGTTTTTCACTTGCCTGCTGCCAACCTGCTCCAGTTGGTTCTCATCAACCAAGAGGTGAAAGGCAAGACTATACATCAATCCTTTGAAAGTTTAGCTGCTAAAAAGCCCTCAGCATATGTGCAAGTTAAAGCTTCGCAGACCACAGCCTGCAAGAAAAATCTCATTTTCCCACTCGGTTTTCTAGCTTCCTTGTTGGGGGAAAGGAGAGGTGGAATGCTCTGCCTGACGTCCACGGCACGCTCATCCTCAAAGATACAAAACAACAGAAAACCAACCCTACTGTGCCTTGCTTGGTTCCTTTGCCAATCCCAGCCTGAGCCTCCCTCAAACTGCAGTGTCCAGAGTCACAGCGCACTTGGCTCTTGGTCAGTGGAACCAGTGGGACAAAAGATTCAGGACACACAAATGGGAAACTTAAAGCAGATTTTGGAGACACGCTCCTCACATCTTCCTCGCTATGACCACAGAGGAAGCTATCGACACTATGTGAATATCAACACAGCCAGGATTCTCCTGCTACCTTTGGAGTGGGACTGCCTTTCCTGAAGTGTGTTGCTTTCCTCATTTCGCTTGTCCTCTGCTTCTATTGTTTCCTGGTGCAACGTGCACTTTAGGTGCAGAAATGGGTAAGGCCACAAACAACCTCCCGGCATGTGGCCAACTGCATCCTCTCCATATTTGAGGAACATCTTTCTCATGAGCCTGTAAGGAACAGACTCTGCAAATCTTTCTTTCGCTTTAATCTTCGGAATCACTTTGCACATTTAAATTCTAGCGACGGAGTAAACCACAAGGTTCACCACCTCCTATGTATGGACAACCCCTCATCTCCAGAGGATGGCAAAGATGCCTGGCTTAGCCTATTAATTCCAAATCCTCCAAACTCCCTTGACACTTTGCAACCTTCCCAAAGAACTCACAGTGCAGTTAACTGGTCCCTTAAGCGCGACTGCGTTCCCAAGTCAATTCTACGTTATGCCTCGGCTCACCATTTAAATAATCCCCCAACCAGCCCTTTAGCCACATGGTGCAAATATCACAACATCGTAAGATTTCCTTTTTTCCAACGCCGCCCTCCTATTTCCATCGCCAAAACCACAAATGTTACGGTCAGTGGAACAAACAGAAAAGAGAGACTTTGGGGTTTCTCACAAGTCACTAACTTGAATTTGTCCTACCACAGTTTGAAGTTATTATCAATTTCAAAATTGACAAGAGAAGCATCTTTGTAGATGAATAGCTTTTCTCGCCCAAAGCATCATCTCTCCAACTGCATCTCTGTATTTAGATCAGGAGGGAGAAGTCTTTTTGGCCCAAGTCTGCCAAGTCTGATTTGATGCTTAGCCAGTCTTTCTGTCAAGCAATGATGTGTTGTTAAAATACTACCTTGCTGCTTCTAGTGTAAAGTAAAGGAAAACAAATGTGTTTGATGAAATGTAACCTGAGCGCTCTTACAGGAAGTCATGGGAAGCCGCTCACTTAATAACAACCTTGCACAATAGCTTCAGATATACGCCGGAGGGAAGGAAAAAGAGCAAGAGAGGCTGAATGCAGGACTTTGGATTGCTCACGAGCCAAAAGTTAAAATCACTATGTTAGACCTTTATGCACCGTATATTCTCTCTTTGAACAGAGCCATTCTCCAGTCCTGATGGAACTGGGATTTCAAGTCAAAGTACGCATCTGAGAAAACAGGAAAAAATATTTCAGACTGCTCAGACCTTGGGCCACGAATGCCCCCTTGCTGCATTCTCTGACGTATCCCAGTCATAATAGCATAGCCAAACATTACACAAAGCATTTGAACAGAGCTGTTCTCCAGTCCTGATGGAAGTAGGACTTCCATATTCCAAGTCAACAAATGCATCTGAGAAAACGAAGTCGGAGGAAAGGACTCTTTCAGACTGCTCAGGCCACGAATGCCCCCTTGCTGCATTCTCCGACGTATCCCAGTCATAATAGCATATCCAAACATTATAAAAAGCCTTTCTCCAGTCCTGATAGAAGTAGGACTTCCACTATTCCAAGTCAACGAATGCATCTGAGAAAACAAAGTCGGAGGAAAGGACTCTTTCAGACTGCTCAGGCCATGAATGCCCCCTTGCTGCATTCTCCGACATATCCCAGTCGCAACAGCACAACCAAACATTATACAAAGCATTTGAACAGAGCTGTTCTCCAGTCCTGATGGAAGTAGCACTTCCACTATTCCAAGTCAATGAATGCATCTGAGAAAACCAAGTCAGAGGAAAGGACTCTTTCAGACTGCTCAGACCCTGGGCCACAAATGCCTCTCTTGCTGCATTCTCCGACGTATCCCAGTCATAATAGCATAACCAAACATTATAAAAAGCCTTTCTCCAGCCCTGATGGAAGTAGGACTTCCACTATTCCAAGTCAACGAACGCATCTGAGTAAACAGTGTTGAGGGAAAGGAATTCTTCAGACTGCTCAGACCTTGGGCCACGAATGCCCCTCTTGCTGCGTTCTCCGACATATCCCAGTCATAACAGCGTAACCAAACAAGTCTGCCTCATTTTAAAAAAGCCCCCACGTCTAAAATGGCTTGTATTTCATCCTTTTCTCCTCTTCTAAAGAGCCAAGCCGCTGCGTTCACACGAGGAAGAATCCTTCGTCGTGCGCGCCTATGGATCCGTTCTCTGCTACCCATTTTCTAAAGTGAATTCTGAAATGTGCAACTGGGAAGATCCCTGGGCCAGTCTTCCTTTTCCCGTCGCGTCTGGAGTCTACAAGGGCTCAGGACCGCCTTAAGACAAAAACACCCATATACACCTACCAGTCAACAGATCCTCAGCAAACCAATCTCAAGATACTCAACTACAATTTTGATACTCCTATAAAAAAAGACCACAGGTCATTGACCTTATCACAATATGTGTTACGAGTCTAGCAGAATATCTTGGGTAACCAAAACCAAATGCTGAACCTGACTGCCTTTACTGTCGTGGGAAATGGAAGGGGAAGGGAAGGGATGGGGGGAAAGGCAGGAATTGCCGTAACAAAAGGGAGAAAAATATATGGTCGGGAACCACCAACAAAAGCCCCCCCTCCCCACAACTGCGCCACAGGAGGGGGAAACGGCCACGGGGCCCCCTCCCCAAGTTGTTGAGCGTGTCTCAATGCTTTGGACAAAAAAGAAGTTCACAGCAAGCTTCTTCTTACAGCTTTTGATTTGGTGGTCCATGAGCTAGAATCTTGTTTCCTTTGGTTGCCCATTCACTCCACTGCAAACCCACAGGTCTCTTCCACAGCCGTCAGGAGCTTCTCGTAAAGCTTCTCATAGGTTTCGTAAGGCGGAATGTCAATTCGGTTAAAGCTGCGGAAAGGGGGAAAGAAACCAGGTGAGTCTGCCGCCATCTCTCGTTACAACGCTTGGAATACTATGCCTGCCACAAAATTATATAAGGGAATTTATTTATAAATAAAAATGCTCTGTGCATAATGAATACCATAAAAACAAAAGAACCAATGAACGAAATCACACCAAACTTGGCAACAAAACGTCTCACAACACAAGGAGTGACCATCACTCAAAACATTATGATTTTGTCATTTGGGAGTTGTAGCTGCTAGGATTTATAGTTCACCTACAATCAAAGAGCATTCTGAACTCCATCAACGATGGAATTGAACCAAACTTGGCACACAGAACTCCCGTGACCAACAGAAAATACAGGAAGGGTTTGGTGGGCATTGACCTTGAGTGAGAGTTGTAGTTCATCTACATCCAGAGATCATGATGGTTGTTAGGTGTCTTGTGTCCAAATTTGGTGTCAATTCATCCAGTGGTTTTGGAGTTCTGTTAATCCCACAAATGAACATTACATTTTTATTTATATAGATTCTCACACTGAGGGTTCTCTCAGACTGAGGCCTTTCTCCCACTGAGGTGAAGTAACACACTGAGGCCTACTAACACACTGAGATCCTTCTCCCACAGACCTCTCACAGACTGAGGCTAATAAGCTACATGCACACCTGCTTCTACTGAACTGCAGCTTTTACTGAGTCATTGCATCCATGTAACCCTTTCAGTGCTTGACTCACATTTTTGTAGTTAAAAATATTTAATTCAGCGGTATTATAGGTAACAGATTGGAAATACAAAACAGGTGTTTTGCTTAAGCACTTCTTGTTCACCTGGCAGATGCATTCTCCAAGTCACAGGCCCAAACTATCACAAGGCAATATAAAGAAAAGAAGGCTTACCAAGTATGAGCTTTCGGAAGGTTATCCGTGTTTGCATCTATCAAATGGATAGTGAAGAGCCTGGGTCCTGCAGCGCCTGTAGAGCCTTGCAAACAGACATTCTAGTTAAGGCCCTTCGAGAATACAGCCACCCCCACCCCCAGACACTTCTCTGTTGGAGCCAACGTTGTAGATCACCAAGGGAAAGAGTAAAGGGGGAAAAATAGCAAACGTAATATGCCATCACATCCAAGGCACACCTTGTTTTTGGAGCCTCAAAAGTAGGGAAAAGCGAGCCTTAGATTCTGTGGAATGCAGCAGTCACCAAAGCGAGCTGTTGGGGTGAACCCTGCACCCCTCTGTCACCCACTTGTAGTACTCAGGCTCTAACTCAGCCTCCCTAGCAGTCACCTTGCAAAGCCTTGAAGCCCTGGAGCGGCACCCGCGTCGAGCCCGTCACAAACTGCAGCAGCCGTGCTCTCCGCTCCTCGTCGAAGGCTTCCACCGCTTGCCAGAACCATTTGACGATGTTGCTGTCGGCCATGCAGTGCTTGAGGCGCGTGTTGGACTTCCAGTCGTTCAAGTCAATCTTATCCAGGCCACCGATGATGAGCTGGTGCAGCAAAACACACCCATTTTTAAGGAGCAGTTTACAACAAAAGTAACAGAGTGGCAAACATTCATTGCCCAAATGAACAAAGAACATGTCAAGTGGAACCACAGCAGCCTGATGGAGGGTGATGATTATTTATTAACAAAACAAAATTAATTATGCATATTGAAATTCAAAGTCTGGTAATATTAATAATATAGATGATTTATATCAGTGTTTTGTTAGATGGGCTTCTAAAGTGTTTTACTGATCAACGGACACAACTTTTGTTTATTAAGGGATTGATAACTGAGGCCCCTTCCACACAGCTGTATAAAATCCACACGGAACTCAGATAACCCAGTTCAAAGCAGACAATCTGATAATCTGGGTTATATGGCTGTGTGGAAGGGCCCAATTTCTCACAAAACACTTATATTGAACGAAGGCTTTCATGGCCGGAATCACTGGGTTGTTGCAGGGTTTTTTTGGGCTATATGGCCATGGTCTAGAGGCATTCTCTCCTGACTGCATAGGGAAGCTGATGAGGAAATACAACATACAAGCTATCTACAGACCCACCAAGAAAATCCAACAAATGCTACATTCAGCAAAGGACAAGAGGGATAACCTCACTTCTGCAGGAGTCTACCGTGTACCATGCAGCTGTGGACAAGTCTACATAGGGACCACCCAACGCAGCAGCATTGCCCAGATACGGATCCAGGAACATGAGAGGCACTGCAGACTACTTCAACCAGAGAAATCAGCCATAGCAGAGCACCTGATGAACCAACCTGGACACAGCAGATTATTTGAGAACACAGAAATGCCGGACCACTCTCACAACTGCCATGTCAGACTACACAGCGAAGGCATTGAAATCCACAAGAAGCAGGTGGACAATCTCAACAGAAAGGAGGAAACCATGAATATGAACAAAATCTAGCTACCAGTATTAAAATACTCTAAAATTACAACAGCACAACAACAGAGAGGAAACAATCTGGGACATCTAATCACCTCTCAACAAAAGTTTGCTCTAGGCACTGTCAGGCCATGATATGCTAATCAAGCTGGTCAGTTGAAACATTCCCACCTAGCTCCAGCAGACAAGAGTCCTTTGTCTCACCCTGGTCATTCCACAGAAATATAAACCCTTTTTCCTAGATCCAACAGACCTCACTACCTCTGAGGATGCTTGCCATAGATGCAGGCGAAACGTCAGGAGAGAATGCCTCTAGACCATGGCCAGATAGCCCAAAAAAAAAAAAAACCTACAACGGCCCACTTATATTGAAGTCAAGGCCTCAAGTGATTGAGCTGTAACTATTTCCACTTTACTATCTTACTTTTATCCCTCTTTCAAATTAGTTATTTGTATATTATATTATATTATATTATATTATAGTATAGTATAGTATAGTATAGTATAGTATAGTATAGTATAGTATAGTATATTATATTATATTATTTACACTCTGCCTTTCTTCCATTACAGTATTCAGGGCAAGTTGCCATAATTTAAAACAAAGTGCAACTAAAAAAACATTCATGCAAAAGTTTAAAAAGACTTAAACTTCATTTTTTAAAAACACAAGTTAAAAATATTTTTTAAAGACATAATATATAATCTATGTGATTTATACTTCACCTTCTGAGTTATCAGATTAATTATAGCTGATTACTATAAATATTTAATATCTTCTAAATATTATGATTTAAACAGTTCTAAACATAAACATAACAACAACAATCTTCTCCTTATACCCTGCCTCCATCTTCAATGCGTACAGATGGTATCCAACTCCAAAACTCTGTGTGATCTCTCCCAGCAGCTTCATGTAGATGTTAAACCACAGTATTGGGGTCAATACTAAGCCCTGCGGGACTCCACAAGACAATGACTGCAGGGCCAAGCAGGAGTCCTCAACAACACCTTCTGGGTACGGTCCTCCAGGAAGGACTGGAGACACCATAAACCAGTTCCCCCAAGCCCCATTCCTGCCAGGCATCCCAGAAGGACACCATGGTCCGCTGAAAGGTCCAGGAGAACCAAGAGGGACACACTCCCCCTGTCCAGTTCCCTATGCAGAACTCCCATGACTCCATAGCATTCAGCTACACAGTTAAAGCAGTGTCAAACCGCGTTAATGCTACAGTGCAGTGCAGATGTAACCATACCTGAGACCCAGAGTCTCAGATGTAAGTCTACTTGCAATGGAGAAATTACACTGCTTAGCCGGTATTGCACCACCTGACATCTGCCGGGAAGTAGCAGCCAATAGTGAAAGGACCAAGGCAGAGACATCTCCAGCTCATCCCTTGTTTGGGTATCAGGCAGCACGTCAACGACTTAAATCTAGAAATAGTTTTCTAAGATCTACAGAGACACTCGCTGGAACACCTTAGCAAGCGAGAGTCCAAAAGTGGCAGGCTCAAACCCAGAACCTCAACCAATGGCTGATACCAAATGAGAGACTCCCCCCTGGGCACACAGAAAACTGGGCAACTTGGAAGGCGCTGAACAGACTGTGCTCTGGCACCATGAGATGCAGAGCCAACCTCATGAAATGGGGCCACAAAGTGGAATCCTCGACATATGAGTGCGGAGAGGAGCAAACCACTGACCACCTGCTGCAATGCACCCTGAGCCCTGCCACATGCACTATGGAAGACCTTCTTGCAGCAACACCAGAGGCACTCCAAGTGGCCAGCTACTGGTCAAAGGACATTTACTCAACTACCAAACTCACAAATTCTGTATTTTATCTGTTTGTTTGCTTTGTTCTGTTAGAAATGTAATATAATTGACTGGTTGCCCTGACACGACAAATAAAAACCTGCAATAGTCAGCATGCAAAGGGGGAAACCGTTTTTATAGTTTCACTTTCACTGGTCCCATGAATAAAAAATAAATACAAATGGTGTGCCCAGTACCTCGAGCTCCTTCTGGTCAAAAGGCTTCAGTAGATGTTGTGGAATAAGTTCATTAAAGCCTTTCTGAAGAGCCAAGAACTGGGCCTCAATCCCTCTCATGAACCTCCAGTTAACGTACAACCTGAAAAACACATGAAAAGAAATATATATATTTTAAAAATACAGAAGATGCAACGTGTTTTCGACTGGACGTTGCTGTTGGAGGGGAAAATGTCTTCTTTGCCATAGATACCTGACGTATTCTTTCTTGTTCTCCTCCGTGACAGAGACGTTCCTCCCATTTGGTTTGAGCTCATGCTGTAGAATCCTGCCAAACGCATTGTGCTCCACACAGAACGTATGGTCCAAAACTGGAGTAATATCATTCTCTCTGTCAAAAACAAATCCAAAGTATGCAAGTCATTCCTGCTCCTACCAGGACACACCCAGCAATGTTCCTAACTAAATATTTGGACAGCATGAGGCTGAGAAGCTGCCTGAAAGAACAGGGCACCAGGGAGAGATCTTTTGAATCACATTTTACATAATGCATGGGTTGTGTATCTGGGCCCTCAGTGACTCAACTGTGTTTTATTAGACGTGTTTGTTGCCAAATGGATTACGCTATTTGTTTTTATGTTAACACTAGCCATCCCCTGCCACATGTTGCTGTGGCCCAATCTGTGTATATGTGTTTTGTGTGTGTATAAGTATGTGTATATATGTGGTTTTGCGCATGCATTGTAATGTAATTTTTGTTTTTTGGCTTTTAAATCTCTTTCACTGTGTTTTTCAGTGTTTTATGAGTGATGGTCACTCATTGGCCTGATAGGTGTATTGTGTCCAAATTTGATGTCCATTCGTCCAGTGGTTTTTGAGTTATGTTCATCCCACAAACAAACATTACATTTTTATTTATATAGATACTAGCCATCCCTTGCCAGGCATTGCTGTGGCCTACATGGGGGTTCTGTGTGGGAGGTTTGGCCCAATTCTATCGTTGGTGGGGTTCAGAATGCTCTGAGATTATAGGTGAATAAATCCCAGCAACTACAACTCCCAAATGTCAAGATTCTATTTTCCCCAAACTCCACCAGTGTTCACATTTGGGCATATTGAGTACTCGTGTAGAGTTTGGTCCAGATCCATCATTGTTTGAGTCCACAGTGCTCTCTATGTGTAGGTGAACTACAACTCCAAAACCAAAGAACACTGCCCACCAAACCCTTCCAGTATTTTCTGTTGGTCATGGGAGATCTGTTTGCCAAGTCTGGTTCGATTCCATCGTTGGTGGGGTTCAGAATGCTCTTTGATTGTAGGTGAACTATAAATCTCAGCAACTACAACTCTCAAATGACAAAAGCAATTTTTTTGAGTGAAGGACATACATTGGGTTGTTAGGTGCCTTGTGTCCAAATTTGGTGTCAATCCGTCCAGCGGTTTTTGAGTTCTGTTAATCCCACAAACAAACATTACATTTTAAGGTAAAGGTAGTCCCCTGAAATTAAGTCCAGTCATGTCTGACTCTGGGGTGTGGTGCTCATCTCCATTTCTAAGCCGAAGAGCCAGCGTTGTCCATAGACACTTCCAAGGTCATGTGGCCAGCATGACTGCATGGAGCGCCGTTACCTTCCCGCCTCATTACAGGGTGTCCGCGCCCCACACCACTGGAGAAATTACACTGCTTAGCCGGTATTGCACCACCTGACATCCGCCGGGAAGTAGCAGCCAATAGTGAAAGGACCAAAGCAGAGACACCTCAAGCTCATCCCGTTTGGGTATCAGCCAGCACGTCAACGACTTAAATCCATACATAGTTTTCTTAGATCTACAGAGACACTCGCTGGAACCCCTCAGCAAGCGAGAGTCCAAAAGTGGCAGGCCCAAACCCAGCACCTCAATTCATGGGTGATACCAGATGAGAGACTCCCCCCTGGGCACTCAGAAGACTGGGCGACTTGGAAGGCGCTGAACAGACTGCGCTCTGGCACCACGAGATGCAGAGCCAACCTCAAGAAATGGGGCTACAGGGTGGAATCCTCGGCATGCGAGTGCGGAGAAGAACAAACCACTGACCACCTGCTGCAATGCACCCTGAGCCCTGCCACATGCACAATGGAGGACCTTCTTGCGGCAACCCCAGAGGCACTCCAAGTGGCCAGATACTGGTCAAAGGACATTTAACCAAATACCAAATTTGCAAAATCTGTGTGTTTTTTTTCCTTTTCCTTTTTAATCTGTGTGTTTGTTTTGCTCTGTTAGAATTGCAACACAATGGTTGCTGATGACACGATAAATAAAAATACCTTCCCGCCAGAGCGGTACCTATTGATCTACTCACATTTGCATGTTTTTGAACTGCTAGGTTGGCAGAAGCTAGGGCTGACAGCGGAAGCTCACGCCGCTCCCTGGAATCGAACCTGCGACCTTTTGGTCAACAAGCTCAGCAGCTCAGGGCTTTAACCCACTGCGCCACCGGGGGTTTATAAATGAAACATTACATTTTATTTATATAGATATATAGTAATCACACAGGACAGAGGCCAAAACACAGGACATGAGTTTAAAATTCATGCTTTCAACTCGTTGGGTATTAAAGATTATGTTAATTCTGTAGCACGCTTTAAAAAAATGGGTTGACAGGATTATTGGAGGCATCAGCAACTCAGAATAGGATACCTGACACAGGTTTTGATTTTTCCAAGTCAAATACTCACAAAATCCAAACTAAACTCTTGTGCAGTTCTGGGTCGACTGATTCTAGATCAGATAATTGGATGGGTTTTCCCAGAAGCTGCTTGTAGAAAGGAACGGTGAAGCCTCCATTGATGTAGTGCCCGTGGAACACAGCCAGACCCATTATCCGACCAACGAAGTGGAAGTAAGACAGATGATCCTGCAAAAAGTGCCAAAAAGACCACGAACTCACTATCTAGAAGAGAAGCCCAATGGTGACACACCTGGTGGTTAGAGGTATGCCTTTAGATCAGGCATGGGCAAACTTCGGCCCTCCCTCCAGATGTTTTGGACTTCAACTCCCGCAATTCCTAACGGCCGGTAGGGCCGAAGTTCAACATGCCTGGACTAAATCAGCACTTTGAACAGATGTTGCTTGGAAAAGATTTTTTGAGATGCTCCTCAGGATCATGACTCATTCTCCCAGGACCCTCTTCAAAATATTTTGCACTTCTCCAGAGTTTGGGGTGTTTCTGGAGTCTGCAGTTACCTCTCACTTTATGTATGAAGGGCTCAATTTAGTCAGACATATTAAAAACTAACTAGGTATTTTTAATTACAAAAATGTGAGTCAAGCACTGAAAGGGTTAAATGGGTGCAATGACTAAGCAAAAGCTGTAGTAGTTCTACATAAGCAGGTGTGCCTCTAGCTTAGAAGCTCTTCGTCTGTGAGAGGTCTCTGTGGAAGAAAGGCCTCAGTGTGTTACTAGGCCTCAGTATGAGAAGGCCTCAGTGTTAGTTCACCGCAGTGGAAGAGAGGTGTCAGTCTGAGACAGCCCTCAGTCTGAGAAGGCCTCAGTGTTAGTTCACCGCAGTGGGAGAGAGGCGTCAGTCTGTGACAGCCCTCAGTGGGAGAAAGGCCTCAGTGGGAGAAAGGCCTTAGTGTTAGTTCGCCTCAGTGGAAGAAAGGTGTCAGTCCAAGAGCCCTCAGTATGAGAGGCCTCAGTGTTAGTTCACTGCAGTTGGAGAGAGACTCTGAGGCAGCCCTCAGTATGAGAAGGCCGCAGTGGGAGAAAGGCCTCAGTGTTAGTTCGCCTTAGTAGGTGTCAGTCCAGACAGCCCTCAGTATGAGAAGGCCTCAGTGTTAGTTCACCGCAGTGGGAGAGAGGTGTCAGTCTGAGACAGCCCTCAGTATGAGAAGGCCTCAGTGGGAAAAAGGCCTCAGTATTAGTTCGCGTCAGTGGAAGAAAGGTGTCAGTCTGAGATAGCCCTCAGTATGAGAAGGCCTCAGTGTTAGTTCACCGCAGTGGGAGAGAGGCATCACTCTGAGAAAGCCCTCAGTATGAGAAAGCCTCAGTGTTAGTTTACCTCAGTGGAAGACAGGTGGCAGCCCAAGACAGTTCTCAGTATGAAAAGGCCTCAGTGTTACTTGACTGAAGTGGGAGAAAGGCATCACTCTGAGAAAGCCCTCAGTATGAGAAGGCCTCAGTGTGTTAGCTGACCTCGGTGTGAGTAGCCCTGATGTGAGAAGCTTCAGTGAGAGAAGCCTCAGGTTGAAGGCCATTGTGTGTGAATGCTCCAGTGTGAAGGCTGCTGTGTGTAAAGCTACTGTGTGAAGCTCTTGTGTAACTTCGGTATGAGAAGAGGCTCTGTGAGAGTGAAGCTGTTTATCTGCGCAAGAAAAAAGCCCATCATTGAAGCCAAGAAGGAAGTGTAAAGAAATTCATTTGTGTTATGGAAACCTTGTTTTTGTAAACAGTGCAACCATGTTATTTCGCTACAAAGAAAAGCCTTCTATGGAAGAGATAACATTGGTCTGTGTGTTTTTGTTCTTTTTATCACTTTGGGCTACTGGTGCTGGATTATGCTGCTGATAAGTTACTCTGCTGTACACTTATGAGGAGGGTCTTTTGTTAAAAAGCCCACTCGCTCAACAAAATTTTGTTATATAAGGATCAGCACTCTGAAAATGAAGTTGCTTTTAGTCTCTACGATGTCAGAACAGCCCTCTTCCTTAACGTAAACAACAGCCAAACACCCTTCGTTTTGTAAGAGAAATGTGAGCCAATCGGCTGGATGCGTTGCCAGCCATTTCCCAAGGAAACAATGGCTTCCTAGGGCAACCAACCCACACCAAGCACCACCCTGAAGGTTGTTAGTTTGAAAAATAATGTCGCTTTCAAACAAGTCAACGTGTTTTAAGGAAATGCTGCTACAGGAAGTCAGTTCTGTAAAGAGTTTTCTTTTGGTTAAGATGAAGTGGCTGGTTCTAACGTGAGCAATGCAATGAGCGTTTAGTGTGGAACCGAAAAAGGAAATGAACAGGAAGAGTCACAATTACTCCATGACTGAAAAAGCTGAGGCTCTACAAATTAATCCATTACAAGCAGCCGATGCTTTAAGGTCCTCAGACATGTTAGGCCTACTTACCTTCACCACAGTTTTGTTTGGGGTCAACTGGAAAATAGAAATGGACAGATTCGCATAATATATATAAAAAGGCTACTGAGCTAGGGAAAGCTCAGACCTCACACCTGGGCCCCTTCTACACCGTCATATAATCCAGATTATCAAAACAGATTATTATTATTTGCTTTGAACTGGATTATTTGAGTCTACACTGCCATATAATACAGTTCAAATTAGATAATGTGTATTTTGTATGGCAGTGTAGAAGAAGATCTTAGTTAAAGATCTGACCTTGAACAATGGCTTATGCCAGTGGTTCTCAACCTGGGGTCCCCAGATGTTTTTGGCCTTCAACTCCCAGAAATCCTAACAGCTGGTAAACTGGCTTGGGTTTCTGGGAGTTGTAGGCCAAAAACATCTGGGGATCCCAGGTTGAGAACCACTGGCTTATGCAATTTGCATGTCTGGGAAAAACTGGAATTATATCATCCCATTCCCTTGTAGTGGACTCATACCATATGCACTGTGAAACCCAATGTGCAAATGGCAGATTAGCTGATTGACAGGAAGGCCTTGCTGTATATAGTGTATATATACCATATATACTCGAGTATAAGCCGAGGCACCCAATTTTACCACAAAAAACTAGTTAAACATATTGACCTGAGTATAAGCCGAGTGTGGGAAAAGCAGCATCTACTGGTAAATTTCAAAATAAAAATACCAATAAAATTACGTTAATTAAAGCATTAAAAAAACTGTAATTTAAGAGAAGACGGTCCATCTCTGATTAAACCATTATTCTAAACTTCTTTAATGTAAATGTGCTTACGTATTCTTCCAGTAAAATAATAAAGGTAATAATAATAATAATAATAATAATAATAGAGTAAAATAATAGAATAAAATAATAAATGTAGTAAAAATAGAGTAAAATAACTATAGAGTAATAATAATGTAATAATAATAGAGTAAAATAATAAATGTAATACTAATAATAGAGTAAAATAATAAATGTAACAACAGAGTAAAATAATAATGATATTCTTCCAAGAATAATAAAGAGTAAAATAATAAATGTAATAATAATAATAATAATAATAATAATATAGTAAAATAATAATAACTATGGAGTAAAATAAAAATATAGTAATAAATAGAATAAAATAATAATGTAATAATAATAAATAGAGTAAAATAATAAATGTAATAATAATAGAGTAAAATAATAAATGTAATAACACAGTAAAATAATAAAATTACATTAATTAAAGCATCAGTAGGTGAAATATTTATGAATTATTTACATAAATAAAACTGTAATTTAAGAGAAGACGGTCCATCTCTGATTAAACCATTATTCTAAACTTCTTTAATGTAAATGTGCTTACGTATTCTTCCAAGAATAATAAAGAGTAAAATAATAAATGTAATAATAATAATATAGTAAAATAATAAATGTGGTAATAATAATAAAATAAAATAATAAATGTAGTAACAATGGAGTAAAATAACTAGAGTAATAATAACAATAGAGTAAAATAATTATAAGTTGCTTACCTGTAACTGTAGTTTCCTGAGTAGTCACCTGTGAATCATACATGTGGTATTTGCGCCTGCGCAATACAGCTTTTCGGAACCTTCTAGAAATAAAAGTATCAAACAAACCCCAGCTAGACCCGCCCACCCTCCCTCGAGTATAAGTAGCCTGTGGGCGGGGCTAGCCATCAGTTCTCTTCCGCCGCAAAGCAGCCAGAAGGCGTGGCATGAACTCGAGGGGAGGATGGGCGGGTATGTATGATTCACAGGTGACTACTCAGGAAACTACAGTTACAGGTAAGCAACTTATAATTTCCTGTCGTAGTCACTGTGAATCATACATGTGGTAGACTAGCGAGCTGACAGAATGGATGGCGGGGTTCATGCCACCGCCGAAAACAAAACCGCTCTTCCGAGCTGAGAGTCCCGTACTGAAGTGACGTCTAACTTATAGTGTCCCACAAAGGAATGGGGAGATGTCCAAATCGCCGCCCTGCACACTTCGTCCAGCGGGATGCCCTTCCAATGAGCAACCGACGTGGCGATCGCCCTTGTAGAATGTCCCCGCACTGGGGAGGGCAGCTCTTTGCCCGCCATTTTGTAACAAAGTTGAATTGTAGAAACAATCCAGGAGGACAATCTCTGCGCCGAGACAGGTAACCCCAATATGTCCGAACGATATTTAATAAACAGTCTAGGGGATCTCCTGAGGGATGCTGTCCTATCCACATAAAAGGCTAAAGCCCTGCGGACATCCAGGAGGTGCAAGCCTCTCTCTAGAGAAGAGGTTGGGTTCTGAAAGAAGGCTGGTAGAATCAACTCCTGGGAAGTGTGGAATCTAGTGGCTACTTTCGGTAGGAAGGCTATATCGGTGCGTAACACAACCTTATCTCTATGAAATCTAATATAAGGGGGGTCGGCTCTCAAGGCGCATAACTCGCTAGCCCTTCGCGCTGATGTGACGGCTACCAAAAAGGCCGTCTTCCATGAAAGATAGGGAAGACTGACCCCCGCCAAGGGCTCAAAGGGAGGTTTCATTAGTGCATTCAGGACTAGTTCTAGGCTCCAGCCAGGGATTATCGGGGCTACTATAGGTTTGGTGTTCAATACTCCTCTCATAAAAGACTTCACCCATGGGTCCGAAAAACATGAGGGAAGGCCTTGCTTCCTACGGAACCAGGATATTGCTGCTAAGTAGCATTTTAGAGAGGAATATGACAAGCCCAACTCCAGGAGGTGTACCAAAAAGTCCAAAATCAGGGTAATTGATGC